GAGATCATTCCCTCCTCCTCACAAGCCCTCTTGGCTCAACCACCCCCTTCCCCCGCCCCACTGCAATTTCAGCAAAGAAATTCCTAGTAAAGCCCATTCAACAATCAGTTCAAGACAAATATAGGTCCACTGAGAATTATAAATTACAACTCAAAAGGATACCCAGAATTTAAAAAAAGCTATGGGTTTCCAGCTTCCAGAATGCTCCGGCTGTATTCTAAATGCATCATATCTCATTAATTAAAACCTCTTCCCTGGTTTTGGATTAAAGGACAGAAGAAGAAGACAAAGTTCACAGAAGTCCATGCTGAGTGTCAAGGACCAACATAAAGAGAGTATCTCTGTGTCTTCATGAGCTGGTGAAGGGTTTCTAAATATTCTCTGGACACACACATGTATTGAGGTACCATACAGACACCGTGAGTTCTTTCTTAAATAGCCATGTTGTTGTATGAGGTGTTTAAATTTCCTCTTCTAATTTTCTTTCCATTTTCCCCAAAGCTGATATCCTTCTAGGATTTTTTTTGAGGGGAATATATAAACGTTACTAGGACATAACTTTCTGGAAACTCTTTATCCTCCAGTTCTCTCTTCTGCACTCTCGCCATCCACATACTCACAACTTGAAATAGAGTGAGAACTCTGCTTCAATACTATGGAAATTTCTCAGCTGAAAGGAGAGAGTGAGTATTGCAATTAAAATCCTAAACACTTACTGAGAGTGGCTTTGTATTCTTATTTAAAGTGATTTAAGCACTGTCACTACAGCTTTCATTAGTTAATGTCTATAGACCTAGAGCAAGAGCATCTGTGTGTGTGTGTGTGTGTGTGTGTGTGTGTGTGAGAGAGAGAGAGAGACAGAGACAGAGAGACAGAGAGACAGAGAGACAGAGACAGAGACAGAGAGAGTGTAGGTGAGGCAGAAAGAGAATTTAAAGTGGGGATAATAGGGAAAGGGAAGGAGGGTTTCTCTCTTTACTTCACTAGATTGATTCATCAGACTGTATTGTATTTGACAGTTTCCGCAAGCCTATTGATCAGGCAGTATTGTTAAGAAAATAAAATCCAAAAATAATGTTGATTTTACTGATTCCCACACTTGTTACCCTGAGCACTTTGCACGCTCTAGGCAATGGATTAAGGCTACAAATGACAAGAGGCTTGTCTGTCTTCCATGGATTACTCTCTATAGACATTCATCCTGCAAAGGAATTCATGTCACTTTGGGATTATTTAGACAATTGGACTAATGAATTATCCTACTGAAATATCACATATAATTAGTTCAAACACTTTAAATAGCTGCACCCTTTTCACTAATATACATTTTAAAGTCTTAAAATACCTATATTTTCTCTAGCTCTTGTGACTTAGAGTAGGAGAGCAAGTTTATATTTGTGGAAACTAAACAGGATAAGCAAATTTAGAAATATATCCGTTTCACTTGCATAATGTCTAATCCTGAAACATTATGATGTGTTCTGGGAAAAATAAAAGGTTATGTAAAATTCAGATAAAAGAGGGTCAGAATTGACTCTGTGGGGAAGAAAGACATTCAATCTAGATTTTGAAGCACAAAATCAGGACAGAGGTATTTCATTTTGTGAAACAAATAATTTAAATTAAAGTTGAAGCCCAGAATTTGGTAGTGCAAACACCCCACGTTGAGATACACACAGACATAATTTTTAAATTTTTTGATATATTTATTTATATTTGATGTTTCTCACCCTCAAAATTTTTATGATCTTTGCATCTTTTCAGATGCTTGAAAGTTTAATAAATTCGCATTTAAAGTTGTTCAACTGTAGATTATTTAAAAAAGTGAAAATAGTGAATTCTTTAAGCATAACTGTCCTAGAGTGATAAAGTTATAAAATAGTAGAAAAGTTCTGCCATACATAGATATTTTAACTATGATTTTTTTTAAAAAGCAGAGAAAATAAACTACATGCCTGAAAAATACTTATAAAGGTATTAGAATCCTGTATTTCTACCTCTTTCAATCTTTTGAATTTGGTCAGGATTAAATAAAGTTATTTTCAGCTTTTTTCTTTTACCTCCAAAAACATGAAGGATAATCAAGGTTAAACCTATTTCTCAACTGAAGTAGAAGTAAGATGCAGGTGGACCTGGGTGGATGTCTACCAGAAGTTTTTCAAAATCTAGCTGTAAATGTGAAATAGATTTTGATTCATGCCCTAAGGAATAATATCACTCTTGAATCCAAGAAATTGTGGCCTCAGCCCTGATATGCATGATCAAGCCTGCTGTATTTGTCACTTTGGCCACTGATTTTACTGAACAATTTACCACTTCTTTTAAGTTTGAAATATTATATTGACCTTTTAAGATTGATTTTTATTTACAGTATAAGTAAAAAATCTTATTTTGCTTCTTTTTCAAAGCAGTCTTTTTATTTTCCAGTTATTTTCTAATCCACAATCTATATCCTGTGTTATAATTAACTCTCCTTACAACTGAGTTCCTAATATCTTCTTAAATTTCAAGTTTTCAGATGTCATTAACTCCTACTGTAAAGTCAAATTTGAGTGAGTGCTTAATATGAGACTCATAGTATTTTGTACAAATTTCTGCCAAAAAAGTCAGTAGTTTTTTACCTAACCCAACTCCATATTGAAATGGATTACAAAGACTTTTGAGTATAAAACCCTGACCTTGGCAGTTTTCTGGGTAGTGGATTTGATTTTCTAAAAAAACAACACTTCCACTTCACAATAGGTTGGTTAAGTCTGGTTTTTCAAAAAAGAACTCTGTAGTCAGTGAAGATACATATTAAAGCATTTCTCCACTGGAAATATATTTTGATCTATTCACGTGTTGGATAAAACCAATATGTGTATTTTTTAAATCACCACTCTGTATTTTGTTACTGTGAAACAAATTGGGATGGCAATTAACATTGCAATTTAAGAGCAGAAATTGTTCTCATTTGTGAGATGGTGTGCAAAATGCTTGGCAAGTTATAGATACCCTCAATCTTTCCCTGAGTATTTGGTGAAAATACTTGTTATAGTAGTGTATTTAAAAGAACATAAGGAGAAACTTAGTTTAGATGTATTTAAACGATTTAGTGGATTAAATGTTCTTGAAATTATGGCACACTTCAGTAAACCCACATGTCTCTTCCTGAATCCTGCTCCACCCCTATTTTATTGTGGTCAGACAGAAGACCATCCTAAAGCGTGTGCCGCCGACAGAAGTAGATGACCTCTTTAAAGAAATGAATGAGTTAAGATTTTTAGAATGAGTTGGTTAACCAGCTCTTCTAAGGAACAACACCAAAAAGAAAACCAATACTAAAAACCAATAAATTTCAGTTCTTGCCAAGGTATTATTCAATAGAGTCATGAAGAAACCTATATTAGTTTCCATCCAACATCTGCTATTTTCTATTTTTTTCTTCAAGGGATGCTTCATTTGTCCATGAGAAAGGTCTATAATCAACAGAATTACAGCAAATGTCACAGTTGAACATTTGCCCTTGGTCTGATATCTCATGTTGGAGATTCATTTTTAATGAGTGTTTTTCTGGTACAGGGAATTTGAACCTCCTTTTTTTTCTGAAAGAGAACTGTGTGGGTGAAAACATTCTCTAGAAGATCGGAAGACATTCCATTAATTGGGAAAACTAAACAGATGATGTATTATTCATTCCAGCCAAAATGATAGTTATTTAAGAACTATTGCCATTGTCGCTGGGAACTGGGGGGTGGCAGGTTAAAAGCAATATTTAAGAAATTAAGTTAAACTTTTCATAATCTGACCTGTGTGAATGCTTTTAGTATAAGCAGTATGTTAAAGCATGAGTTGAGAGAAGGAATTGGTAAAAGGCAAAGGGAATTCAATCTCTGGGGAAGCTTTAACTCCTCCCTTCCCTTCTTATCCCCGCCATGAATAGAGAGTTCAGAAGAATAGGCTCATTGCTCCTTTGGATTGAATTTGTAACAGGTTGAAAAAAAAGAAAAAAAAACAGTTTTGCTTTTCTCTTTTGATATCAATGTTCATGATACTTTAAGGTAAGGGACTCAAGATAAAAGACTCCTTATTTTTTAAATGAATTAAAGTGAAAAGTGTTCAATCAATGCAAAAGGAGACCGAAACTGGCCAGTTACATTATTTGTGGCTGGAGACTTTAAGAAAAACTTACATAGCTAAGGATATCGGAAACTGCAGGGAAGTTCTTTAGTAGCAAGCT